GGGGAGGGTTCTTGACTTAAATCATTTTAAAATTTTTCTTTCAACTTTTTATTTCGATTTGTTTCATAATCATTCGTGTATTCGCATTTTCGTTTCAATGTTGACGACTGCACCCAGGGATATCTGAAATCTATCACTGAGTTGTCGATCGATGGGATGCACCACGTTCTATTTCTTTGATCAAATTTAGTTTCTCTTCTAGACAAAGCTCTGGACGAGATGCCATATTTAACAATGATCGATCACCGAACAAAGAAAATATATAAAATTCAATTCTTCACCTGTTAAATTGATTCTCTCCTTCTCTCTTCTCTGTAAAAAATCATACAACGAGCCAATCCAATGCATAATGTCCGCTTGGAGATAGATGGCGCTCTTTATACCTGTTCACATTCAGAATGATGGGGCGATTCCGATCACTTACGAAGGGGTCAAAACTCAAAACCAGCAAAATTTGCTCGGTGGGACAGGAAGGTATTCAGTATAACAGCTTGATCACATAGGCGGGGTGTTCAGTAATAGAGGTTTTACTGTATAACTTTTACATTAATCTTGTAAACATTAATTGGTCTACTTTGATATTGATCGTTGATAGGTAGTGACGATGATGAATTGTCATAATATAAAGAAATAAATATGTTTCACAGTCAACTTAGCTAATGCTATTACAACTATTTGATACATTTTCAAATATTTCTCTATTTAATAATAAAATTATATTTACACGGTTGCAGCGTCTATAAAATTTAGTCCATCTTCACATGCTTTATATAGGTTCCATTCCACATTTGTTTAATCCACTGACAGAAGGATGATTCTAAAATAGACCAGTTTTACTGATGTAATTTATTGTTAATTATGAACGAAGATAGACTTATTATTTTCAATTCTGTAGTTTTTTAATAGGCAGCTGTCTTAACATGGATCTGAATTAAAAACAGGATTTTATTGCTGACATTATATGCCACCCATTTTCAATTTATTCTCTTTAATGAAATGCTTACTTTGTCTATCGCGCAAATTTTCTTCGCTTTAAAGAAAATACTGAGTTTAAGACTGTCTCAGCTAGTTAATCAGTGTTTCTGTAAAAGAGAATATTATATTGTAATTCTATTACTGTAAAGATTTAAGTAGTAAATATTTTATATAACTAATATACTCCACTGCACTGATGATAAGTACCGACTGAAGGTGTATGGGACCAAGCGTTTTTTTTTTATTGTGGTCTCAATCGCAGTCAGCTCATTTTTTCGTTCTACTCACGGTGATTTTATTTTTTCTGTTGTTTCTCTCGATTTATAAATACTACTACAAAATTTATTGGTGGCGCATATGAAATAATACTTCAACACTCGTTCGTTTCATTTCTTCCGTGAACAAACTAGAGATGTGTGGACTAAGATTTTCTTGATCTCAGTTCTGTCGAGTCCCTACGACTTACTTATTCAGAAGTCTCGATCATTATCACAGTAGATTTAGTATGTTCCTGATAGACATAAACGGGATCGAGTTTTTTCTAGTCCCAGTGTCGCACATATCTGTAACGACACCATGATGCAATTAAAGCATTTGTGCTCCCAGGAAATGTAGCACACACCAACAACAACTGACGCTACCTCTATTTTAGCAACCGTACTCATCCTAATGTATATTCACATTTTTCTCTCTTTACGCAACTCTTCTCTAATATTTTACTTTATGTATAGATAAGCATCGCATCTTAACTAGCGATCTGCAAAATCACATTTTATTTTAGTCCCAATCTTTTTTCATCTCAGTGCCGTTCGAAATCGTTTTAATGTTACTGATCCAGCTAGGCATGCATCAATTCTAATTCTAATTGGAATTGGTTCATCTCTAGATAAAGTTCCTGTTTAAAGTGTTTATTGCTTCTAGTTCTCAATATATTTTCTAAATGCACAAGCAATTTTTCCAACAATCTGTAGGATTCTTGGACAACAGACAATATTCGTCAATACTTTTGACTTGTTAACATTACGAGCATCTCTCTATATGCATCTATTAGAACTAGGATTGTAAAAAGAAAAAAAATTTGTTTTCTTATCGCACTCAAAACTTCGCTCGGTTCCTTCTAGCCATGTGACTTACAAAAATTGCCTCAGAACTGACAGTTCTTCAACAAAATACAACATCTACGTTTGCATGGAAAAATCATTTTCATTGTGAAGAATCTATATGATCAAATAGTATCCTCTCCTCTTATAATGCATCATGTAGTCGGCGTGTCGGATTATCTATATCACTATTTCAATCAAACTCGAGCTTTTTTAATTAAGTAAAAGAAAATTTGAAAAAACAAATGTAAGAAGACAAAATCCAATTAAATTTTTGTCGTTCATTGTATGTCTAACTACACCGATTCATCTATTTGAGAATCTATACAAGTTATCGAAAAATTGCAATTTTTCAAATAAGAATCGGAATAAATGAACCATTTTTATCAGAATTGTATATAAAAAGAGTGCGTGTACATATCCTAGTGGCAATAGAAAATAAGAAATTAAATTCTATTGTATAGTTCCTGATGAAAATATTCAATCAGATCCGCTTGAAAAGTTATAGGATCTGGTTCTGGTCTTCGTTCTAGTCCCATCTGAACTGCAGCCCCTGGGTACATTCAGTCTTAACATTCATTTATCCATCGTATCTTACAAAAATGAAAGTCGTGAGATTAGGTTCCATTAACGAGATCAGAAACAAATAAAAGACGTCCGAATCAGTTTTACAGGTAACACTTCTGAAATCTATGAATCTCTTTCTAATGTATTTCAAAGTTTCAGTTTCATTTTAATCTATGAAAATAAAAGTTTACTGTAGTATCTAACAAATTCTGTCTCCAAAAACAAAAAAGTCATTTTTTTCCGACTGATATAAGTAATGGCTATTATTGAATTTATGTATTAGAAGTAATAAGTGTTTATCAATCTTCAACAAAATAGACGTTCATCCTTTTCTAGAAGTAGTGTAAAAATAACATATTAAAATAGATTAAGGTTGATGTAAACTCAAAATTAGCACAAAGTGCAAAATCACAATGTCATCTAATCACACATTTCTCTTATTTCTATGTGATACATTGCAAGCTTTTTTCTCTATTGTCTATAGTAAGAAATATTACTAATTTCATAGATGTTCTTTTATCAACAATCTGGAACAGTTAGCACGAGCTTATTCGAGAATTTGAGTCTCTGTCAAAATAAAGCTGAAAGAAATAACAAATAAAAATTCGATTTAGCTCACAACTAAAAGCAATCAATTGTATAGATTTTCGAATAAATCATGTTCTATTATAGGATTAAAAACTTGTTTAAGTAGAATGCGCATTATAACTTTCTAGTGCAAAGGCAAGTTCCTCTTTTTAATTGGTTTTAGGTAATTTATAATATTTTATTGTTTATAAGATAAGACAAAATATAGTTTACATATATAATACAATGAACATTGGCGAGAAAGAAAGATTTTTACTTCGCCAATAAAAAAAAACACTGAATTATATTTCACAGTAGTGTTTGAATATTTAATGTAAACAATAATACATATATATATATTAACTGATATCGAAGATGAAAGACCTTTCAACCTTCTCAAATAACCTATATCCGTTTCTTTAACCAATCGATAGTGTCGATGTTCTATATCAATGCAGAAAATATTCTCTTTTTTTAATGAATTAAAATTTTGCTAATAAAAATATTTCATCGCTTTGAGAAAAAACGTCATATTTCTTCGTTTTTCTTGGAGTGATTTTCATATTTCACGAAATGTTTCATTATGTTTAAAGTCTTCTCAAAATTTGTCATGGAGCTTAAAGACTAACACAAAAAAAAACTTCTTCAGTGTGAGGGAAAAGATTTTGATCAAGATTTGGCAATATTAGTTGCTATATGTAAGTAAATACTCACCCTTCTCCATAAAACACGTAGATTGTTGAATAGATGGTGTTGTTGGTGTTGTTATTGTTGTTGTTGTAGGAGCAGCAGCACCAGGAACTAAAAGACATTTACATAACTTTATATTTAGATGTTTCCTCAGATCGTCAAGATAAAAACGAAGGGGAAAGATTGTATTAGTAAATCATATTTTAAATACTACAATTCAATATTCATGATTCGGATTTTTTATTAGAAGTTTTTAAAATTCAATTCAAAATATCCTGATCAGAGCACTGCAAAAATAGTTCTGAAATGTTCGACTGAGAATTATCACGATTTTGAAAGTATCTCGTGATACTCTTTCCAGAACAATTTCAAGTATTCGGTGAAAACAAAAAGGTCCGACGATACAGTTGTTGATCTTTCTAATCTATAAAAGTGAACATAGTAAACGTTACTATGGTTGCATCCAAATTTTATATAAAGCAAGATTCACGTTGATTTATCTATTTCGGTCACAATATCTCGCTGAAATACTATTCTCTTCAATTTAAGATTGTTCATGCAGCAAACAGTAACATATTTACTCCCATTAAATTATAATTAACAAATGACACTATCGAAACAAAACAGTACTTGTTAATAATGATAAGAAATCGGTGAGACGCATTTTTGTTTTCTAAATGTGATACTGAATTTTGTATATGCTCAAATCAGTTTTTTAACAATCTTTATTATTTATTTATTTTGTCAAGTTTTCAAATCCATTCCATTGTTGGTATAATTTCAATTCAATGGTAAAATAAACAAACAAAATACGGCTACTAGCTTCTGCTGTGGCTTTATAATAGAAATATTTTCTTTCTAATCTATCTGTTCTTCTCATTTATTGCAAATATGTTTTCATAACGAACGGTTACTACTATTGATGATATATTCAGTTTTTTATTTTCGTATAATACGTTGTACTTATGACGAACAGTTAAATTTAATAGTTTCGTAGAAACACAATAAATTATGATTTTACAATAGATAAAGAGTAGAATTTAACTAGACAATTAATTAAAATCAACATTGAAGGTCTGAAGTTCCAAATGATAAAAAAAAAGATTTAATCATTTCAAATAATCAAGGTACTATGAAGATTTATCTATATGCTTATTTCTAGAAATTAAATTAAATGAAATCACATCAAATTTTTCATTCTAACTCTCTCAAAACTTACCAACAGGATACACAGGAAAATAAACCACATCCGAATACCAGTTTTCAAATGGTTCAAAGTACCCGTCAACTACTGGAACACTGAAATAAAAAGATTCAATATAATTAAGTGATGCATCAGTAGGAATGAAAGAGAGAAGAAAAGAACAATCGTTTTCGATTTTCATTGCAAAACAAAAAATACTTTTCGTTCCACCTCTATACTTTTTCCTTTCGAACAGATATCTTTGAGTTAGTAATGAGCTAATAGATTTAACGTTTAATAAATTACTTACAGCATCCATTCATCAGTTGTTTGGTTTTTATATTTCAACCCGCCAATGCGGGGAAAAATAGATATTAATCGTGTGACACTTAATTTTTCATTGGGGTTGATGTCCAAACATAAGTTTCCATCAGGATCAGGTGTTGCTATTTTTATTGTCAATTTTGACATGTTGATATTAATTTATTTTTAAAATAAAAATATGCACCGGTTTTGTGCCAAAAATAGGTTTTCAACGAAGTTACAAAATGATTTAGATAAAAATAGTTCGAAATTCGAATTGTTTCTTTGATAAATACTTAGTGATAAGACAAATGAACAAAGAACTTTCGTTGACTTGTTGTTTTTGTTACCAATTTCATTGGTACATATCACGATCCATTCAACAAACTTCTATGAAATGTGTTTTTTTATAACAATTATTATCCCACGTCGAGGAGAACGGTTAGGCTCCAAACACACTGAGAAGTGCATTAAGTTAACATCGTTTTAATATATCGCTCGTTCACACTCAACAGTTAAAGCACCAATCAAAGCAAAGCAACGGCCTCCGTCATGTAATTCAAGTGCATAATGAACAGCATTAATGCATTTAGAGATGTCATTCTCGTATGTATATAACTTTTACTAAAGTATATTACTAGACACATCAATTTTTCAATTATAAACTCAATTGAAATAACTTTTATAATAAATTATTCGAATTTCATTAATAAGAACTTTAGTAGATTCAGTTTCATAATAGTTTTATTGAGAAACAAGAATATAGTTCTTCAGTATCAGAGAACAAATTGTTCAAAAAGAACAATTGAAATTCATTCAAAAAAACAAAAAAAAATTTAACAATATAGTAGATTGATATCAACAAAAAACTAACCGTTCATCACAAAAAGATATGTAATAACAAAAAAATATGGACTAACAAAAAAAAATGGAACAACAAAAAAGTCCACAATGATGAAACACCACCAGTTAAAGAGGATTTTGCTCAAAATATTGAATCATGGCTTCTCTTACGCCAATTCCATTTGTTGTGGTTACTGGACATGAAGGCTTTTTGTGAACTGGATAAGGTTGATGCCACAGAATGTCTTCAACATCTCCATGAAGGATGCATATGTTGTGCATGATTACGGCTGTCTTGATTATGTTAATAGTGTTGTCGAGATTAAACTCCATTTTTTTATGGAGTATTCGAAAACGGTTTTTCATCATACCAAATGCTCGTTCAACAGTGGAACGGCATCTGCTTAACCTGTAGTTGAACATCCTGTGTTGTCGTGGCATATCAATACGGTCTGGAAATGGCTCGAGTAATGTCTGGTCCAATGCAAACGCGGAATCAGCTATCAGATGCGATTGAATCTTTGTGTTATTTACTGTCATATAATGATCCTCATATATAGAATTCTTGATCACATCAGAAAGATTCGATCGACTGTAGACAGATGCGCCGTTGCATCTGCCTGGGGCCCCTACATTGATGTATGTGAACCCAAGATCAGCATTAACCACCGCTAGCATAATGACAGAATGATATTTTTTATAATTAAAATAGTCGGCTTCAAGGCCTAGTGGTGGTTTAATGCTGATATGGGTCCCATCTACAGCTCCGATGCACATCGGATAGCCGAATTTTCTCAAAAACTTACTGCTCGTGTCTTTAATTTCTTGATGATTATCTGAGAATTTTACCAAGTTATAAATAAATAGCTCAATCATAATGCTGCAAAACTCGTGCAGTATTTCACTGCTGGTACTTTTCCCTATCCCGAAAAGATTACCTATAGTTCTCAACTCAGCACTGGAACCTAGACAGTACAATGCGCAACAGACCTTTTTTCTACTGGAATTGGCTCTCGACAGTTTGTTTTGGTTTTTCGTAGATAAGGTTCAATTTGCTTCATTAATGCAGAGTAGGTACCACGTTCCAAACGGAAGTTCTGTTTGAATTCATTGTCGGACATTTTAGGCACTACTTCTAACCACTATCTGCCATTTTTCTTCAAAATCCATATACCACGATGATTAATTCCAAACGAATTTTCATTAAGCATTATTAGTATCGCAATAAGCTTGTTTCTCTGGTTCAAATTACGTCGATATTTACGTAACAAACGTTGATATTCGGATCGAAGATTTGAAATATCATTAGTTAGCCGTTGTTGTTTTGATAAATATGTGTGCACCAAAGCTAAACATGATGTTTTGTCCATCTGAAAATAAATCAAAGGGATAATAATGATCACCACAAATATTAATATACATATCTAACACATTCTTAAAGGACTGCTCAACTTTCTTATATTTAAGAGATACTGAATTATGAATAAATATTTAAAAAAATCACATGATTAAGAATTTTTGTTAGTATTCAAAAATGGCACTTCAGCATTTATTAGAGAAAAAACCATACGAAAGTGTTTCACAAAAAATGTTTTACAGAAACAGAAATCAAAAATATATGTCGCCGAATATATACCGAACAAAAAACAGAATTCGAACTAGATCACAATAAAAAAAAAGATTCTCATGACACTTGCATACATAAACGCCTGAAGTATAACAAAAAAACCTTATCGATTTGAATTCATACCATTTATGATATTCTTAAAAACATCTAAGAATTCCTTTTCTGTTTTCATGCTTTCCTCTTGAAGCTTGGTTTGCTTTTCAAGCAATTCGATTACCTTCACTTCTGATCTGGATGCAACCTCGTTTGCATCATTGATTTTTCCGAGCAGTTCTTGCATAAGATCAAGTCTGTTAATAGATAATAATAGAGAGAAGATCATTCTAAAACATGTTTAAACTTGTTTTACTTGATTTCCGAAGCACGTTTTTTTCTAACTGCATTTATCCTCTTCGTCGTATTAGGTGTCCCTTTAGCTTCAGACTTGATTGTAGATTTATCATGGGAAGGCGAAGATGATTTGTTTAAACGATTAGGATCAGAACCAGGCGCTTCTTCATCTTTCAGCATGTCAATATCTTCATTGACTTGTTCCGATATTTGCGTTGCATTTAAGTCGCATGATTGAGTATTTTCAATATCTATCAGCTCTGTCTGTTCAGTAACCATAGAATCTGATAGGAGAGTATCGTCATTGTAGGGTCTTTCTCCTAAAGCAAATTGTACATTTTATATTATGAAATGCTCATACATAAATTTCTAGAATTCAAACTCACCAAGTATCTTATCTATCGCGTCAAAGTAAGACCATGATGAAGGACTGCCACCTGTCTTTCCTTGCTCTTTTTTTTTCTTTCTATACTCAATAGTAAGATTGGAAATTTTGCATTTAACATCAGCACCACTTAATTGTCGATCTTTTAATATCGAATTGAGTTCCTTGGCCATCTGGTTATATATGGGAGTATTTCTTTGCCCACCCTTATTTAATTGTAATTGAAAATCACTCCAGATTCTGATAAATGAGAGCGTTTCACCCTCGCTCCAGTTTCTCGACCGTTTTGCTGCTTTGGGTGCTAGAGAAAGAACTTATAAAATACTTGATTTAACGTGTTTTACTTGTTTCAAGATGTTTTATCTTTTTGTCTGTTTCTTTGTTGCGCGTGTTGTCGATTCAAGATATACCAATTCGTTTTTCGTATTTTTGTTTGCTGCTGTTGATTTTGATTTTGTCATAGTCGTAACAGGGCTCATCACTAAAATAGTCAAGCTTTCAGTTGTTTTTATAAAAGAACTGTTTTAGACAAATCTGCTTACGCGTTTCTGCTGATAATGGGGACTCAGCAGTCGTTGATCGTGCGATTGGCATATCGACGACAGATGATGAATTTGGAACTTGTTCGAGAATTGTTATTCCAGCTGTTGATTTATTTATCGTTTGTGGTGTTATCGGACTAGAAAGAGTAAATGTTTTTGGAGATGAATTTATAATAAGACGAGTTGGTAAAGTAGCAGTAGCTGGAGGATTAATTCCATTTAGAATTTGTAACGAAGAAACGACATTGTTTTGGTGTAGGACTTTATGCACTGAGTTCAATTTCAAGTAATGTGAATTTTGTGGTTGAACATTGTTGTTGGGTGACATGACAAAGCGAACATATTGTGGTTTCATCGTCTAAAATCAACAAAGCGCATAAAGATTCACTAATTTCTTGTGGGCGTAAATATAACTAGAAATAATATGTGAAGTAGTCCGATTTTCATTCTTCCGTCGGATAAAATGAAGAGAGCCATGCATCATATACGCTAATCTTCATTCTAAACTATGCATATAGGAGACGCCACTAGTGTTTTTCTTATTGGTGCGACGGTATGGCAGTGGATTGGTGCATTAAAGTTCAATCGCCTCGAAAAGGCGATTTAACTGTGTTTTAACTTTTCTGACAATCTGATTGGTTAATGCTGTTTTAACTTGCTCAGTATGTTTGGGGCCTTAAGGCCCTCCCCCCACCCTAATTTCTATTTTAGCCTCTGATCATCTGATCGTCCTGAAATTTTCAGAGTAAGTGTATCTACTGTTAGGTACTTCACCATAAAAATTTCAGCTCAAAATATTGACTCTAGCAAAATTTGCCTCAGAATTACCTGTCAAAATACAGAGTTCAGCGTTTCCCAAACCCTACTGTTATCTTAAATGGTAGAAAGCGCGGGTTGGTTTTAAAGTATGCCAAAAACCCAGCACTACAACTTAACGTAGTCAGAATTTTTCTTTTCTTTTTCTTTTCTTTTCTTTTTCTTATTTATTTCATAGGGTATGGAAATGAGGGGGGTACACTGTAATACAGTTGAATTTCATGAGATACTGAACATGAAATTTAACATTGTGGCTTCGTTAAGTTGTAGAACGAATCATTCTCTTCATTTTGAAACCAACTTGAGCTCTCTAGTGTTTAAAATGACTAAACGATTTGGGAAATACAAAAGTGAAACAACAAAAAAGTCAATTGTGAGAAAAACGTAAAACAAGTTTAGGAAGTGAAATTGAAGACTTTTTGCTACTGTAACATGGGATAAAATTAATTTTTCAGTGATTTCCCATCGATCACTAGTTAGAACTAACTGAATAGATGCATTATAGAGGTTAATAAAATATTCTGGGTGCTGTATATAGTAATGCAGTGTACACAGTCGAATGATTAATAAATGATGCGAAACAAACCATCTGAATTAACATCGATATTTTCTATTATTTAACAATAATATGTCTTAAGTATCTGAAATAGATGAAGATGTATTGAAGTAGTCTCAGATATGAAAAAATCTTGACTAATTGTTGTGACTAGTTTTTAAAAAATCTTAGATAAATAAGAAATAAGTCACTACTAAACTAATAATCTCCCCCAGGTTCATAATCACTATTCGATTCGTCATCTGTTAGTTGCAAGTCCATTAAATCTTGAGTAAGATTAACAGAATTTGTATTAGGATGAATAAATGGTATTTCATCATCATCACTTCCACTGGATGAGCTATTAGCACTAGCAGCAGTTGTTATTGTTACAGGTGTTGTTTTACTTTTTTGGCGTCTCTTTTTTACTTTCGAAGTAGCATATTTTCTCATCATACCAAGTCGACTGAAACATTCAACAGAATAATACCCTGCAGATGAGAAGACGTTTGTAAATAATTTGTCTAAAGAATCATAGCCATCATTATAAATTATTGTGGACAAACCCAATCCGATACGAAGAATTGTTGTTGAGCAAAATCGGTGCTTAGGAACCATTGTCCACAACAATGAATGAAAAGCCTCATTAGCATTTTGTGATCCACCACCTATCACACGTGCTAAACTAGTTGGAGAACATAGTTCTTCAAATATAATATCTATTAAGTAATTACACACAGCGACACATGTTAACGATAGTTTTCTCTGTGAAAAAAATCGATATTTTTGAAAAATACTTTTTTTGTAGGATTAGGGGTCTCCGAAAAACCGACGTTTCACCCTGAAAACTTATCATAAAATCAATAAACTATAGTTCATTCGATAGCGGACACTTTGATCTATCTAATGCGATAAAAATAAAAAAATCGAAAAATTTGACAAAAATTGACTTTTAGGGTGGGGGGAGGGCCTTAAAGAACACGTTCGTAGCGCAAACGCGTGCTGCGCGAGTGGATAGGAACGTGTTCGGAGCGCGTTCTTGATGCCGTTCGGACCGCGTTCTACATGACGTTTGTTGACATAATTAACGCTAATGCTTATTGGTCAGTTTTGTCAAACCAATGAAATTTTTCTTTTTAATCCAAAAATTACCGTTCGTTACATGTTCTTGATTTTATTATTACAGTGAAAATAAAAATACATTCAAATGAACAGAAGAAAGAAACCATGTCACAAAATTTAAGAGTAACACATAAAACGATATGTTAAGGCAAATAAACAAAGAAAATACTAGAATATTGACATGTTCAGTGTAGAAAAACGAACTAAAAAAGAATCACACTTATTTGTTTCGACAATTTAATAATTACATTTTCTAACTGACAATTAAGTGAGAAAGCGTAGCACACAAAATCTTCGATTAGCGGAGTACTTTATTTAGCATTCTTCTGACAAATGTCTAGAATATATACAAATAGAAGCAATTTACGTATAGATTCACCTAAATGTTTATTCGGTGGTGACAGTAGGAGCCATCCATTTTTCACAATTATTATCGTATAAATATACAGTAGAAAGTTCATTTGTTGTTGACGACCTGTAAAATGAAATGGACATTGAATGTACTTAAATAAAACATCAATGGTGGTTAATTCGAAACTTACGCATTCTAAAAATAAATTTGCCTTTACTTCGTTCAAAGTCATCACCTGTCAACACCACATGTTCTTTCTCTTGAAAAGTGTCATCTTTATGACTATGACTTTGTTGATCATTAGCATGAACATTAATATTATTCTCATTTTCTGTAAGAATGTTTTCATCATAAACAAATGCTTGCATAAGGGTGCCTACGATGACATATATCTCATTCACTACTAAATTAGGTGGAGAACTATTGCAACACCTGAATTCTAGCAAAGGGTGAAGTGGGTTCAAATCATAAAATGAGTACATAACTTAGTAACTACATGCGAATCATATAGGTCGTGAAAGAATAGTATTAGGTAAATAATCAGCTTTACTTAATCACTCGCATTGGGAATTTGTTACACGTGACTCTTGTTTTGAATCAGCTTATAATTTATTGAAACCTTCTTTAATGAAGACTTTTTATCTTCATTATGTTTTGGAAAAAGTACTGACAGTCTTCATCATATGATAATCGCCTTGGTTTTATCACACATTCATTCAATCGTCACTGTTGATAATCCACAACCAATTATTTTAGTTGCACACATGCAAAATGCCTCGCCACATTAGTCTACTGCATCGATGATTCTACCAAGTATGAATATTGTGCCATGCAACTGGCAGCAAAAGCAACAGCATCGTTCCTTTTGATAGATACCAACAATATCATAGAGAAGACTGTTGTTTTGAAAGTTCTTTACTCGGAAGTTATTTTTGTCGCTTTCCTACTTTGATGCATAGCTCATGAAAGAATGATACACTACATTGTCAATTTATATACAGCAATAACAATCAATTCTCTGGAATAATAGCCCGCTTCATCATTCATCTATTTGATAAAACTAACTATTCAGTGAAATGGACTGTTCAGCTCATTACCCGGATACTGATCTATAGAAGTTACTAATGCAGTAATCTCATTTTATTACGGATATTAATTTCAATAATAAGGAACAGGTAACATTTTTATTCAAGCAGCAATATTCGAGCCTATTAAACCATCAACATATTCGGAATTATTACTATCCCTCAACAAGAAATTTATAAAAACATATTCCGACTCCACACCCTACTGACAATGTTGTCAACACGTTTTCATCTATAAATGGTGCATACGTAATTTTTACACTCAAACACATTCCCCGGTTTATTGATCATCAAGTTTTGATGAAACTCAAAACAAATCATCGATAAATCAGCTCAAGAGATTTAAAATCGACTGTTGATGAAAATCCAATTATTGACCTACTAGTTGGTTATAATCGATTCAAATCTATCAATCGGATTGTTTTCTCAATCGATTTAAGGATTATAATCGATTTCAATCTGATTATATGTGAAAAGAACGATTATTTGGGAAATAATCGGATTTTCATATGTATAATCAAAAATAATCAAGATTTTGCAACCAATATTTTTCACTGGGGGGGNCCCCCCCCCCCCCCCCCCCCCCCCCCCCCCCCCCCCCCCCCCCCCCCCCCCCCCCCCCCCCCCCCCCCCGCCGTAACTCATTTTACATGGAGATCGTAAGTATATCATAATACTTATAGAGTGTGCTATCCTATGGAGCATGGAAATACTATATAATTAAAAATCTCCAAGTGGAAATATTATTGGTGAGACGATTAATTCACGAAGGAAGAGCAAGGAAAAAAATCAGTCAGGATGATCGTAACGAACATCTCCTCAGGAAGATCGTAATAGAAATCAAGTGCGAAATGTCTCTTTCCCATAAAAACTTGTTGTACAATAAATCAATGTTATAGATCCGATCTATTATTGTCAATGATTATTGATGAGTAATATATACGTATATATTGCATATATCATAAAAGTAAAGAAAAAGAAAACCTTGTCTATATGTAATAGTAAAAGAAGAGAAAAAACCTTCGCGGTTCGTCATCAACGTGGTGTCTCATGGTCATTTGTCGTTCGTCATAGTCGATAATATTAGAAAGCAATGAGCTACTACGACGATTGTGGTGATGAATATTCATCTGATGATGATGATATCTTTTATCATAATTATAGTGTAGATTATGCCAATCAAATATTAAATGGACATCATGCTGTTTCATCATGTTTACCACGTATGCATCAAAAACAAAGAAGATATTCACCACGATTAGTGCGTATCTCAACATTGGATCAAATTCCTATCGTTAATCGATCAGAAATTCTTCCTTCATTACATAGCCGACCAAAATTGAATTATGACGAAGATATTTCATCAGTACCCATTGCTCCTTCTCGTTTACCATCATTAGAAGCTACCAGTGAAGAATTAGAAAGACGAGCAACACAAAGAACGCAAACGATACCTCAGGTTGATATTATATTGTTTTATTAAAAAGCATTTTTTCTTTCAATTATTTTAATTCAATTGAGTGCTTTTTTAGGAAACATCAGCAACTATTTCTCCAATTACCAATAATACACCTACTGCTACTTACAATGATAATAACAATAATAATCCTCCATCTGAAAATGTGCACCGTCCATTAAATGAAGCTGAATTAAGACAAGTTCAACAGCAACAAGAAGCTTTTCAACAACACTTACTCAATATGCAACGTCATTTACTTGAACAGTCTCAACAAGAACAAGTTCCAACATCAAATTCATCTGGACGAAGAACAAAAGTATCCTATCATGATCTTGAACTTGATGATGACCAAGCTCGCATTGCGGATTTAATTGAGCATGATCCTTATGTTGCAGCAGCTATGGAAGATTTTGCTTATACACATGGATTATTGGATTGCAACAGACAAAGGTAATTTGATTTCTTTTTTCTTTAATTAAATTGACTCATATGATTCATTGTTAGAACTGATTCTAATCATTCATCATCGCAAAATTCTCAACATATATCTAAACGACATCGAAGTCAATATGATGATGACGATCGTTCTCATCGATCTTCTTCATCTTTATCATCATCTGTATCAGTATCGTCGCTAAACAATGTAACATCAAAGATAAAAGATTCTAACGTTGAAATTATTTTATTGCGTGAACTTAAAGAAATTAGACGTTTAATGGAAGAATTTGTTCATAGTACAAATAATGTGAATAATCTCAGAGGAATGAGTGTTCATTATCCAACTGTTGACCCAGTAACTGATTATCGACCATCCATGGTACCACGTAAACAGAATCCACCTCCAGAACCAAATCAAATTTTATATCAAAATGTTGTTGATACTATAAGAGAAGTTATGGATCGACGTTCTCCTTCTCAACGTGAACAACAATTAAAACCGAGTGAAATAAATGCAAAATACAAATATACTTCTAAAAGAAAACCACCAAATCCATTATCAACTCATCAATCCACAGTTATGGAACGATCAATATTACCAACGCAAAATCAAAGACAACGAAACTCATTACAAATGACAACTCCACCAATTGTTCCATCGTCAGCAGCATCATCATCAAATGTTCCGGTAGATTAAAACATCTTTTGTAGACTATTTTTATTTAATTTCTTTTTGCCAAATTTTAGCCTGCTCCTCCATACGAAGCGTTAGTTAATTTTTCTTCATCTCGATCAACAACAATAAAAGATCGTAATTTATCTTATGGAAGTCGTCAAAGACAAGCAAATGTTTATGATAGACTTTTACCAGGAAATTATTTACGCTTATATACCAATAAGTATAATTAGTTAATATGAGAAAGAAATTTAAAAAAAGAAAACACGAAAATCATTATAGAACACGCATTATCGAATGATAAGAAACAATTGGTGAATTTCCTTCTAAATGCACAGCAGTTGCACCAACCTCAATCGATTGTTCATATTCACCACGAGCTTCCATTGATAAACTTAATAAATACCTTTTTTTTTGATTAAAAGAAACAAAAGATAATTCCATTTTTCATAAGAAAAAAAGTTTTATCTTTACCAAGGTTGATAATTTGACGGTTGAATAGAAATCGCATCTCTTGCATATTTTTCAGCTAATGAATAATTTCCAATTTGTATTAAAAGTTTTGTTAATTGAATTAATGTTGGGAAATGATAAGGATTAATAGCTAAAGCATCATTATAATTCTGCTTAGCTAATTTTAATTGACCACGTGCATCATTTATTAGACCACGCATATAAAACATTTGATGACATAATGGACTTAATGAGGAGATTTCTTTTATACAACGTTCACCTTCATCAATTTTATCTAATTTAATATAATATCGAACTTAAATAGAAAACAAAAACGAAAATTATTTTCTTTTTCAAAATTAAAAGAATTAATTTCATCTTTTGTTTTACCAAGATATTCAAATATTTGAATTAAACTAAAATAAATTGGTTGAACAGAAAATAATGACGTTGATGATCGATTATTTTTCATTGAATTCTCATCATTGATTAGTACTGAGAATGGTCGAATACCAAATAAAAATAGATTTTTAATTCCATCTTCTATTTTCAATGTTCCTTGTTGATTATTTAATGTTTGTTCAGCATCAGTTTCGGTATTTATTGAAGGATTTTTCGATCGGCTATCTGGACGATTTCCACCACTAAAAAAAAATTTTGTTTTCAATTGTAAAATATATTTTTAATATAATTCTCACCTTGAATGTGATAGACCATGATCATTATTAGTTAAAAACGGTTCAAATTCATTTTTCCAAAGCAACAAACCTTCTTTACATGTTGCAATGGACTGCTCACATCCATATAATTCTTCTTCTATTGTAGCTTTTGTTAATAATAAACTAAATTTTGATTGAAAAGAATTTAGATGAAATGAAAAAGTAGTTCCTAAAAAATTCTAAAGTAACTTGTTTATTCAGTTTTTATTTTCAATTCTAATAGTATAGAAAGTAGTAAAATCTTATCATTTGAAAATGAAATAATATCGTGTTATCATATTCTGTTTTGCTCAATGAACACTCAGTTTTATCTTTGTTAATCATTGGAAAAGGTTATTTTTCAGAAGACATTTGTTAGATCAATTATTATTAAATAATTAAAAATAGAAAAGTGTCTAACCTAATATCTGGATAATCATTTGTTGCTCGATAGATTTGTGCATAAGCTTCAGCCATTTGCTTTTGAGCTGTAAGTAGTAGTGTATGTAAATGAAGAGCAAATTTATCATCAGGTGATAATAGTAAACATGTTTCAATTGATTTTAATGCTTCATCAGTCTATTCAACGAGAAATTTTCATTTATATTTTGCTTTTGTTTTCAAAAAACAAAAAAGAACGAACTTGATTGTGAAAAGATAAATTATGAGCTAGATGAAAATGTGCGATAGAATCATATGGATCAAGTTGAATTGACCTTTTTGTAGAAGAAAAAAAGAATTAATTAATAAATAAATAAATGGAATAGATCAAATAAAACCTACTCTCGAAGATCATTAACAGCTGATTGAAATAGTGCTTGACGATCATTATGAATTGATGTTTGCCGAGCTTTAAATGACTTTGCAACAGCAAGTAAAACAAGTGAACGTGCAAATGGAGGATTTTCAAGTTCTTTTGCTTGTTGACAATAATCAATGGCTTCATCGATCTAAAAATATTTTATTTATTTCTTTTATTTCTTTTATAAAATTTTCTAATTACAAGATCAATAAATCTAGGTCGTTGTTCATGTTGAGTTAAATTAGTTTGTTGTTGATTTAAGGTTTGCTTTAACAATGGTTGAGCATCTTCACCACTTGATGGGAAAGTTTCAAATAATGATCGAAACTATTTATTGTTTTAAATAAAACAAGAAAAAAATTCAATGAATAAATAAAAACTATGGAAAATTTACATCATAAATATGCTCAAGAATTATTTTTGCAAGCTGTAAATAAACTTGGATATTTTTTGGTTGCATTCGAAGACATTCTTTTAAGATGAGATAAGCCCGAAATGATTGACCGGATGATATCAATGATAAACCATAATTAAACCACGTTTGAAAATGTTCAAATGAAAAGCGAAGAGCTTGCTCATATGACTTAATTTATTTTTCTTATTAATAATTTATTTTTATTTAAAAAAGAAAACTTACATCAGCAATTAAATGAAATGCTTGTTTACGGGAGAGAAATATTGAAAGTAAAGCAAGAATATTATAAGCTGCCTGATGACTACGTTCACGTTGTCCTTCATGTTCTGGTTGCCAATCAAGTACAGCTTCATTTAATGTTGATGTTTGACCCAATAGTAGTAATAATAAAATTTCTTCATTAACATCTCGAGGAATAAATAATGATCTATTGTTAGTATTAGTTTTATTTATTTCTATTTAAAACAAAAACAAAAAACTTATCTTACTGAGAACTACGACGACGATTAAGTAAACTAGAATTTTGAAGGTCATTATCAATATTTGTTAATCGAGGATAATTTCCTTTACAAACACATTTTATTAATAATTCAGCATATTGTTTAATTAACGTCTAAATTAATAATTAAAATAGATTTATTTGAAATTCAATTTTTTTTATGGAAACAAAATACGAACTTGTCTCATTGTTTCTAATGATTTAATATGAACATTTTGAATAAATGAACGAAATATTTCTATTGCTGTTGTTAAGTTACTAAATAGAAAGTAAAATAATTAATACTATCAATTTAGAAAGGATTTTTTTATTTGAATACAATCTTTTTTTTTTATAGATTTTCATGTTAAAAACGAAACTGAAATTATTGTTTAAATACTAATTAGAAAAATCAATCGTAAATAAAATATATAAAAAGAAATCTATTTTAATATATTAGATTTGACCTATTTATCAAGATTCTTAAATGAAAATTTAACTTGTTTTAAATTTTTATGTGTTTTTTTCGATTTAGTATTAAAATATTTTATCTGTTTCGTAGGTTATTAAACAGAAAAATAGTTTTCTATTCTGTTTCAAATTTATTTATGGAAAACTGAATTGTCTTTTTGTTTTTCATAATAATGCCTTTATTTATTGCTTTAGTTATATATCCATTGATTTCAATCAAAAATAAAAATAAAGGCTTAAAAATTTACTTATTTGAAGCATGCAGAAGTGGTAAACGTTGATATGCTAATTCAATTAAAGAATTTTCAATATCTAAATTTTCATTACTTAAATGTTTATCTTTTTCAACAGCAGCATAATAAGTTTGACTTAATTTACAAGAATCATCAAATGATTTAATTATTTCAAATAAATCTTCATTTTTCTTTTCTAATAACAGTCCTTTAAGTGCATAAATTTCTGCAAGTAATAAAGACGATCTATTCGGTTGATCATTAATATCATTTGGTATTGAATTTATTGCTAAATTAACATTTAATAAACATTCATCATAACGTGCTTGAGCATAATATAATTTAGCTAAAAGACACTCAACTTCAAATAAACGTGATGATAAAACAGATTTAAGAAGATTTTCAACACGAATTAATTCTTCTCGTGATTTTTCTATATGACGATTATCAGTTAATGGATATTGTTGTAAATAGTATTCTAATTGTGCTTCTCCGTCTAAGAATTTAACATATTCTATTTAAAAAATACAAAAATAACTATGCGTTTTTTAAAGGGAAAAAAAGAATATATATATATCCAACCTGAAGCTTTTGCAGTTTTTAATTTATCCAAAATTTTAGTCCAATTAAGTTCTAATCGATATTTTTCAATTTCACTATCGGTTCGATGTTTTCCACTAGACAGATTAGTTGATGTTGTTGCCATCGAGTTAATTCATTAAAATAATCAAATAAATTTACTAAAACTAACAATTTTTCAATTTGTTTTTGTTGTGGTTTCTACTTTTTGACATGAATTATAGATTGGAATTGGAAGAACAAACTCATTCAATCCGAGACATTCAACTTTCTTTTTTTTTCCTTTTGTCGATATAGATGTCACTGTAGTTTTGTAGCTAACCTAAGGATAAGTGTGAGGATGAGGATGGGCATACTTGAACCTGAGTGCAAATGAACTGTGATACTAATAGAATGATAATATATCATTTACGAAACTTTTCGTCACTAATAATTTTAAATTATAGCAGCTTTGATTTCTCCTTTTGAACATGAAATATTTTTATCGATAGTCTCCTAAAAATGAGTATTTGTTGAGTAAGTCTTCTCTTTATTTTCTGTCCGATAATCTCAATCAAAATCGTTATCATTGAATAAAAAATGAAAAATTCTAACTAAAGGCAAACAATAAGAGATCTAGCACAGTTCGATAAGAGAATTGTAACTGTAAATACTTGTATGTTCTGTTAATCTTACCAATGTCTTGTTTGACTTTTAGTAGAATGATTAAAAATTAAGTTTTCGTTCAATTGAAAATCCATAATTGAATGAAATAATTTCAGCAATGTCGTTTTTAGAATTAATAAAAAGAAATATTTCATTTAAAACGTATATGAAATAATAATATCGTTGAAATATTTATTGATTATAAATAACTAAGATAAATTCTGCATTTCAGTTAACGTAAAACATAATTTATCAATAATTAAATGAATATTTTAAAAGAAAAAGCTATTTATCAAGGAAAAAAACTAAAGATGAAAACTTGAAAAATTTTTCGATTGAGCAATATTTTCAATATTTATTAATAGATATAGATTTTCTATAGGTCAGATTTTTCAAAGTTTTCGTCTCTAATAAATAAATAAAACACAAGTATTTTATTTTATATTTAAAATCTTGCCTTCTTAAAGCGTAAATAAGTATGATCATTAGAGACACTTCATGAAAATATTGGCTTGTCTATCTTCTATCATCAACAAAAGTAAACTTTTTAAATAACACATTTAGTTCGTTGACTAATATCATATTGGATAAAAAACAAGAAGATACTATTTTTTTTATTTTTATTTATTTATTCATTCAAAGTTTTGTATAAAACCAGTAGTTCTAAATGTTACTGAATTATTCATAGGCAAACTTGCCGATAAATGAATCGATTTATTCTTGTTTGTCAGACAATAGAGAATATTTCAAAAATCAAGAATAGAAAAACCGAATTTGTGTTACCGGATACTATTCAACTGAATTCTTTTGAAAGACATAAAAAAGAACGTTTTCTTTTATTATCGTCGATAATGTTCTCATTTGTAATTTCAACATCATTTGTCTTTTGCTCTGCTTATGAAGAAAAAAATGAATAAGAACTTTTTTTTTTAACTAAATGATTGTTGAGAACAAAAGAATATAGCATGATCGAACTAATCAGTTTTAAGTGCTTCGTCATTTGCTTTTGAATCTTTTGAATCAAAACAAGGAAAACAAGAAATTTTTGCTTTGATTTTGAGTAGTACAGGACATATTTATCATAATCGAGTAGCTATGTTTATTATTAATAATGAAAAGCATTTCATATATAAATAGATCGAATATCTATATTAGGAGTATTATCTGATCATTTCAATCATCATCATTATCATATATTTACATAAAACGGTCAGATTTTATCTTATTTACTTTATAATAATATATTTTGTTTCAAAGACAAAATTCATTAAAATCATTTGTCGTTTAGATCAATATTAAAAAAAATAAGAGAATCCTTTGTCATAATATATCATATAACTTGAATAGATGTTTTGAAAATTGAACTGATAAAGTTAGAAAGTAGACGAAAATCAAAATGATTAAATAATCCTCATTGTCTTGTCATAATTATTTAAAAAGATTTATTACAATATTCTTCTTTTCTTTTTCTATCATCCTGTTAACTATTAGAAGATCGTCTGAATTTCAGACAAAGATAACTCGTATTCTTTTATTTGTTTTTTACAGAAAAATTAAATGGCCATTCTTAGTAATTCGTCGTTTCATACAATATTAATAATAGTGGCTCTATATTCCATGTGTCAACTCATACAAGTAATAGAAAGTCGATTTCTTTGGGATTTAAGTTTATATTGTATTAATTATTGTTCACGTAACAATGATCAAATGCTTCCAATACATGTTTGTTCGTGTCATCGTATTGCATCTTATCATCGTCGAATGACAAACAATAATATTCAATCAGAAATTAAACAAGATTATCAATTTAAAAATTATCAACAACCTATCAATAATCAATTTCCTTAACTTGACACTAAATATTCCTTTTAAATTTAAGAGTAATTGAAGAAAAAAGAACAACTATTTTTTTTTCAAAATAAAAGATTTACTCTTCCATGTAGTTACCCGGCTTTGAACCATTACTTGAAGAAAATGTAAGAATTTATAGAAATTTTAAAGCACTATATATATATATAGTATTCTCTGTAACTACATGTATAGGAAACATGGTTCCCGATTACTTTTGGAAGTGAGGGGGGCTAAATTTTGGCAGAAACTATATTTTTTTTGGCAGACAGTATACGCCAAAAAGCAAATCCTTGATTTATAATATCATCATCTAACTTAGATGATCTAAGTTCATTTTAATTAAAACTAAGTAAAAACAACATATGTATAAAAAGTAATATTTAAAAAAGTTTTTCAAAACTCATCATCTTTCTATTTCAATTGATCAGATTCAAGAAATAATGTTACATTTTGTTGCATCTAATGTTACTGTACTTAAATTTGACTGTTCTATATTTCTTTTCAACTCATAATAT